CATGAAAAAGAAATTGTAGCAGAGGATGACCAAGTGTTTCTTATGAAGCAGCAGGTAATTTTCTGTCTATGAAACAAGCAGCAAGAGTTTAATTTAACAACATTCTCAATACAAACTTGGGGTTTTATTCTTAGTCATTATAATATCTAACACTTACATGTATGTTTGTTTTTTTGCAGTCACAGTTGGCAAAACAACCACCTACTGCTGCAGGAAGGCCAGTGGTTAGTAACAAAAATTTTAAATACCATCACATGAAAGTCGTTAGCTTTTATTTATTTAGAAGTTTGATTTTAATGGCACTGTCAAATATTGTTTGATCTAATTGTTTTAAACTACATAGTATTTAAAGACTCGTAGTGCTCTAAAATTATGACACTCCACAGTGAGTCACAACAGCTTGTATTGACAGTAAGGGCTAAAGGGCCTGGCTCTCCTTTTCGTATGTTAGAATGAATTTATGGTCAGAGGCACTACTGAGTAACAGATGGATTTTCAGGTTTCTCATGGGGATGAAATTAAAAGCTTCTCTTGTGTTTTAGTTACACTAAAGTTAATAGTATGTTCTACAAGTGTGAAAAGATTTGTATGCAATCAGCAAAATCTAATCCTGTGTCATTTCAGTTGCATGAGATACTACATTTAAAATACAAAAGCTTAGGAGCTGTGAGAAATAGCAAAATGCTTCATTTAACCTGTTCTTACACTTTGGGTTTGTTGGTTTGTTGTTTTATGTTGTTTTTTTTTTAATAGGATGCCTCACCAAGAGTTCCTGGTGGCTCTCCTAGGACACCAAATAGATCTGTAACATCGAATGTTGCCAGTGTTACACCCATCCCCACTGGGTCAAAAAAGATTGATCCTAATATGAAAGGTATCTTTTCTTATGAAGGCACAAATGTACCTGGAGAAGTAGAATAATTGCTTTGCCTGCTTGCTTTAATTTTCTTATTTAGATTTATTAACGCACTAAAACAGTATTTACTTAGAAAATCCGTGTTGGTTTTGTGTTGTGTTTTTTCTTTCCTTCTTCCCCTTGTAGCTGGAGCTACATCTGAAGGAGTCCTGGCTAACTTCTTCAATAGTCTCCTGAGCAAGAAAACTGGTTCTCCTGGTGGCCCTGGTGGTGTTGGTGGCAGTCCAGGAGGAGGTGGCACTGGAAGTGCTGGAAGCAACTTACCACCATCAGCAAAAAAGTCAGGTATGATTAATGACAAAAGATCAACTCAATCTAAATTGAGTGATGCATTGTTTCTGTTAGTATAGTTTATCAGAATTATGAACACTACCGTATTTAACTGAATGTTAGATATATATAAATGCTTTTATATTCTATATGGCTTTTTGCTTTTATTTTCACAGCACTTTAGTATTGTATTTTTGTGGCTTTCAGAGGAGCAAAGAAAACCTTCATGTAGTTGTTTAAGCATGAATCATGTCAACATGAGTTCCTAGATTTTTTCCCTTATTTCCACCATCCCAGTGAAATAGTTTATGCCATAAGCCTCTTCTAGTCTTATTTAAATAGGGTAGGACTGTATTTCAAGTTGATTCTTTTTGACAATACTGTCAGTATTAAAATAGCTTTAAATTAATAGCTAGTGTTCTAGCTCTGATGTGATAAGTGCTTTGAGTTTAGTGACAGCCTGTAAAAATACTTATGGTGTTTTCTTTTGACAGCTGTTTATATATGAGGCAATTTAAAAATATTATTAATCTAGAAATGTTTAATAGTGACTGTGCTAAAGCTAGATGCAGGAATGTACTGACTCCCTGCTTCCCCAGAGGTTAGTAATGCTGCACTTAGGGGAGAATGCTGGTGTTTCATTGGTACTTCACATTTCCCACTAACATTTTGTGTAGATTAACCCTGAATTTTTTTTTCACCTCTGCACAGTTCCCTTTTCTAAGTGCAAAACTCTCAGTGCAAACTTTGGCTAAGCAAAGTCCGAGTGCTTCCTAATGTGCTGTAGGCAAAGTCAGCAGTGCCAGTTTGAACAACATATGGAGATTGTTCAAACAAATGCAGCTGACGCAATATGAGGCACAGAGAGCACCCACTGAAAAATCCTGTGGGGAGTGGCTGGCAGCAGGTTTGGATGATGCCAAGCAAACAGAGGTAGCACTCCGGAAAAGTGTTCTGTCTGGAGCTGTGGCAGAAACATCAAGGACAGAATTTAATCATTAAGGAGCAAAACAGTTCTCAGAAATTTCCTACTCTGCAACAAATGAAGGGTTAGGATTACAGCCGGTTTAACATCAGAAAGGACTATGTTTTCAAGGAGTTATCATAAATGCTGATAAATTTGGCTTAGATATGACCTCGTCATCATCTTCAGTGTTTTCTGTCTTGTATTTAGTGATATCTGCGGCACTCACTCTTCAAATCTGAAAACTGTCTGTTAAGACAGTAGTTTGGGATTTGAGAATTACTTTTTCCTCAGCAGCTTTGGGAAATTCCACTGCTTATTAGTTGGAACATTAGCTATTTTGATTTTAATACAGTATTATCTTTAGTTAAATGATTTGAAGAGCAGTGAAGTACATCTGGCCAAAATTACCTTTATGGATAGTTCCTGTTAATTTGCAGCTTCAGAAAGGATGCTGGGACACTGCTACAACTGCATGTGTGTCAGAATATTCTTTTACAGATGCTGTGCACCCTTGTCATAGAATTGGAGTCCTAATACTGCACTGCCTTTTCCCATATTTTCTCCTCCATTCTTGCTATAGAACATAGTGGGATAGAAACCTAGACTGAGGAGGAGGAATTAAAAGGGTGGGGAGAAATGGTGTGTTTTGAGTTTGAATTAAGTTAGAGCGTGGCTGCACAAATGTTTGTGCCATTCCAAGTTAGGGAGGGGATAAGTGGGTGAGGAGAGAAAGGGATTTGCCATCTGCAGGTCTGTGTGTACCCATGAGCAGTGGTGTCAGGTTTGTGTTGACCTAGTACACAAAACTGACTTTGCTGGGCTTGCTGAAACCCCCGATTTTTACATTCAGCATTATTTCAAAACAAATTATACAGAAAACTGTATAGAAGTAGTCATAACTGCTAGTCTTAATAGTCTTCTGTATTTTATACTTTAAGGATATGACTTTCTCTCTACTGTTTCCTCTCTGTTTCTTTAGGGTTTTGGCTTTATGCCTTAATTTTTTTACCCAAAGCATGCAGTAACAATTATTAGGATTTGTCTGATTTGAGAATTGAAGATACCATAGGTTTTTCATAAACATGACTGAATGATACACATTTATTTTGTAGGTCAGAAGCCAGTTTTAACAGATGTTCAGGCAGAATTGGACAGAATTTCACGAAAACCTGAAATGGTCTCTCCTACATCATCTACATCTCCCACAGAAGGCGAAGCATCTTGAAGACACCAAATAAAACCAATTGTTCAGTTTTCTGGGATAATTCAAACTTGCCTCTGCCTCTTCCTTCAGTGACTGGAACTAAAGAACTGAAATAACTTTCAGAACACCAACCATTGATGTCTGTCTTTCTTTTATATGTGTTGCCCAACTTTACAAAAGGGAGCTGTACAGATGGAAAACAGTTATCACATTGTGTAGGAGCACTGCTCACAGTGCAAAAACAGTAAATTAATTCTTTTCTTCTGGGTTTTGTTAAAAAGTCAGTGTAATTCTGTAAAATTGCAAGTATGTCCACTTAAGTGATAGGGGTTGCTTAGAACAGGAAAACTGATACACACCACAGGCACTTAATTTATATTGATTTTCCAATCTGTTAGGTAAGTTTAATACTATCTTAAATAGATTAACCTCTACATGAGAGAACTACTGCTAGTTTTCAAAAGAGAAAAATAATTGCACAAATCTATAATAGCAACAAACTCCGGTTATACTTAAACACTTCATTGGGAATATGGTTTAAAAAAATCTGTTTCATCTCCACTGAAATTTACACTGCATTCAAAAACCCATGCAAAAATGCATTCAGGTATAAGACTAAATTAGTGGCTGGGGTTTTTTTGTTTTTTCCTCTTTGATTAATTTCAGACACTGAATAAAAGATGTATAAAGAAAAAGCAGAGGTTAAATGTACAGAATATCAGTATCCAGATTTGTCTATATATATATGGCTCAGCCTTAATGTCCCCCACTATGTTTCCCACACTACTTATGGTTTAAAATTGGTCATCAAAACTGTAATCAGTTAATAAAGTATTCTCTGCATTCAAATTTAAATAACTTTCATTGAAGCCATGGTGTTCTTGTTCATTTACAGTTACATCTAAGGATGTGGTATAAAGCATCTTAAAACATGCTTTTATATTTTTACTTCTCAGTGAATAATATCTTGCAGGTATTTACACTTCCCTAAAACATTGTTTCTGGAAGGAGGGGGATAAGTCTGCAGTGTTTGTTCCTAGGAGTGAAACTAGTTTATCTGACTTGGGTGGTTTGTGCTGCAATGTTTTCAAAGCACACTCATTAGACTAAGGATCTTGCTGCTGGCTGCAGTGTGTTGTCTAGTAGTTGACCAAGGTTAGGACTTAAGCTTTCAGTACACAAATGTTGAACATCACTTTTTCCTCTGTGAAATTTGTAATTATTTTCTACTTACAGCCTCAGACTAGGAAATGTAAAAAGTATATCCTAATCAAATGATTGCCAAGACACTTATTATAAGGAGTTCGGGTTTTCTAGGTTTTTTTTTGTTTTTTTAAATCAGTCTTATATTAATTTCTCTGATTAGTTTGAAATCTCTCTATTTGGATGTGGTAGTACTCTTCTTACTCAGTTCTTGCATTTTATAGTGGTTCTAGCAAATGCACAGAATGAATCAGGTTAGAAGGGATCACAGTGGGGTCATCTGGTCCAACGTCCCTGCTCAAGCAGGGCCATTCCAGAGCACGTGGCACAGGATCGCCTCCAGGTGGTTCTTGAATATCTCCAGTGAGGGAGACTCCACAATTTCTCTGGGCAATCTGTTCCAGTGCATAGTCACCTGCACAGTAAAATTCTGCTGCTGGGCACCACCAAGAAGAGTCTGGCTCCATTGTCACCCCCGCTTTAGATACTGGCAGACATTGATGAGGTCCCCTCTCAGGCATCTCTTCTGGAGGCTGAACAGGCCCAGCTCCCTCAGCTTTTCCTTGTGAGAGAGATGCTCCCTTAATCATGTTTGTTCTCCACGGGACCTGGTCCATATCTCTGTATCTCTTGTCCTGAGGAGCCCAAAAGTGGACACAGCACTCCAGGTGTGGCCTCACTAGGGCTGAGTAGAAGGGCAGGATCACCTCCCCTGACCCAAGTTACCTCCGTATTTTCAAAATACCTAAATTCATTTAAGAACAACATATATTTTGTTGTGGACTTAACTCCCTCAAGTTAAGCACACTTGTTAAAATAGAAGATTGAATTGTGGACTGAGAAGTTTCAGTGGATATTCTTAACTATGTATTTAACTGCAGTCCTTAAACTTTTGCTTATGTCAACAATTCAGTAAAGGTGACACATGGGGAAATGCATGACCTGCTGATGAACAGCTGCATAGAATAAATTGTCTGGAAGAAAAAAATTAGGCTTCTAATTATGGATGCATGGCATGCATCAGTATCAGAACATTCGTCTAGGTATGTAAACTTGAAACTGAATTTGGAACATGCTTGAGAGAAAAGATTCTCTGATGATGAAAGCAGGACCCATTCCACACAACTGCAGTATGTGTCATTAGGATGCAACTGGGTTTTACATTTTAAACTAGTGGATACTGTCCAGATTTTTGAAAGACAACGCCTGGAATCTAAGTTAATTCACATGAGCATTTGTCAAAGCACAGAACTCTTTATGAAGCTGTAAAATTGGCCACATAATGCACTAATTGCTATTGCACCAGGTGCCCTTATTTGGAGAGGCTGGGACAGGGCAAAACCTTACAAATTACTCGTTATAATTTCACTTCTTAAAACAGATGTCACTTCTGTGTATTTGAAGCTTCTACATGTGTTTTTCCCTAAGGCCACATAGCTTTGGGGTTTTTGGGTTGTTTTGATTTAAAATTATTATTTACAAATTATTATTTACACAAAGACTGCCCCCTACCATGCCTTTTCATTCTAAAATACTAAAGTAGCTTGCTTCCCTCCTTCAAATTCTCTTAATGCTGCTGTCACTTCCCTAGCTGCAGCCTGCTCATGCTGTTTGGAGGAAAATTTACCACAAAAGAAAAATATCTGAGAATATTTCTGTGTAACCTGATGTCTTTTACTTGTTTCCCTCTCAGGAGACCAAGGCTCCTGGGCTGATTTCTTTGTCCTCTTGAGCTGCTGCTCCCCCAACTACTGCTTTGGTGAGAGTAGACAATTAAGATGGGATTTACCACAGCTATAAAGCAGAACTAGTCTCTGCGACAGATGGCCCTTTTCACAAAAAGTAGTGCCAGTAAACCCTGCTCCCTGTTCTTTCACCATCAAGTAAGCACCAAACTAAATAAATTGGGTAAACCACTGAAGCTAATTTGGCAAAAACACCTTCTTGCTCTAGGCTGGGGAGAGGTTGGGTTTGGGATTACCCCAATTTTTAAAAGAGTAACAGTACAAATTACATTAATTTTTCTCTCAATCACTTCTCTGCCTTTATTGCTGTTGGACACAAAGTTTCAGACTAGCACATAAGATGCAGAAAGCAGAGGTAATATAACAACAGGGCACAATTTTAATAATCATACTTTAAAAATGTTTTTCAGTATGAACACTGAAAAAATGCTGCAATTTAAATCAACTAAATTTCTTCAGACTTTCAAGGCTAGTTGAATGTAGACAAGTTGCTGATTAGACTGAAATGAAACTGTTTCAGGGGAATTTTGTAAATCTTCTCTTTCTCCTTCTGTCCCCTGTTCCCACATCAGTTCTTTTGAGTATACTGGTTAAAATAAAGCTGCTCTGCAAATTTTAAGCTTGAAATTTTTGAGTAAATGTCTACTTTATTTCCAGGCAGGTCATATTTTTCAGCTGAAAATTACAATCTGAAATGTGCACATGGCTTTTAGGTTTTATGGACTAGCTACTGTATTAACCTTAAATTTCTAGTGATACTTCTGAAATGCAAGAATTGCTGCCTGTTGGGCTAACATCTCTTCTTGGGGAGCAAACAATTTGCAGTGGAACACCTAGCAGAACTGTTGCCTATCAAATATCTCATGGTTTAATGCTTCTCTGTGCCATGCAGATGCATGCAAAAAACCACTGAGAAGAGTTGGACTAAGCTTGCATTTGGTAAGTGTGGGGATTTCATCTGTAGTGCCATAAGGGATACTTAGTAATAGCTGTTAAAAATGTTAATTCTTCATCTTCAGCTGCTTAAAAATCACACATTTGGGCCTGTTTCATGTGGCGTCACAGTTTGTGAAGTTCAGCTGCAATGCTGAGCACAAAAATAGAGCCTCAAGAGAAAAAGGAAGTTCAGCAGATGCAGTACATTCAAGTCTTCTCTGAGTTCATTGTAGTACTTAGAATATACTATTTGCTAGCTAATCATCCTGTAAACTGTATTTTTCGTATATTTACTTTATGTAATACATGGGGATAGTCTTGAAGAGCAGATGTTCAGACGCCCATGTGAGAACATCAAAATGAAGGAGGGAGATGTGCCTCAGACAGGCTGTCTTAAGTGGAACTCCCTGAACTGTGCAGTAACCCACACTTCTTCCTCATCACTCTTCCAATGAAACTACGTCTGTCTCCTTCAGTGGTTTGGGCTTCCAAGCTGCTTTCCCATTCCTCTACTTACTCCTCCCTTGCCTTCTGGAAAGAAAAGCAAAACCACCCATACTTGCATTTCTGAAAGTGGGAAAAGGAGAACATGAATTCATGAGGCTGGTGCTGCTAATTCTGAGTGTGAGGGACTCAGGCTTTAGTGTTGCATTGTATCACAGCACACAGAGAGTGCCAAACAGCCACTGGGGCTCACTTGATGAAAACAGCGATGCAGCTGTGGCCCAGAGCCCCCTTATTGTAGTAGCTGGCATCTACTCAACTGCTTCAAGGAACTCCAGCCACCATTTTTGAAATTATTTCAGCATGGGGGCAAGAAGTGGCAACTGTCATACAGCTATGCTGTGTACACTGCAATCTCCTCTACTGAGGGGCCTTTCTCCATTGGTATTGCTTTTTGGTCACTATGGAGGGTGTCTTGGAGGAGATGTAATGAAGGAGAAAACTAGGTCATCCATCACTAATCTGCTTCCACTGATATCCCTCTGTGTGCCTGGCTGACTGGAGATGTTACCATAGCTCAGCATCTAACTATGGGGTTGCTTCTCTGCCACCACGTCCTGCCTTTAGCTCTGCTCCTGCCATTCCAGAAGAGGCTATGGCAGGGTAAGAAAGACTTCTTCTTCTGGAAGGCAGGATAAGAAAGACTTCTTCTTCTGGAAAACTGTCAGGTGTAGCACATAACCAAAAATAAATTAATAGCTGTATACCTGGAATGGGAATTCCATCACATCACAGTCAGCCAGTTACTGTTATTTGTATTAAACTCTATTCTTACTTACAGTACCTGTTTTATTTCCCTCTTTAAAGGGAAAATACTCTACTAGAAAGTTAGTGTGATAAAAAGGGTGAAGAGCACCTGCTGTACCTCAGTGAAGAACAGCATAATGTAATGCTTTAAGTATTTTCAAGATATCAACTATGCTATTGTCCAGTTTTCATTCCTTCTGTCACATGACCTTACAGTTCCCTAGCTTTGCTGTAGTTTTGCTTTTCCTGAGCTTCTTATAAACAAATAAATAAACTGGCCTCAATAAGTTAGGCTTTAAATGGCAAACTAACCTTTATCATTCATGCATCGTTGATATGTATTTCCTGGAGAGAGCCTGAACAGGAAAACTAGGTTAAAGACAGTAGAAACTGGAAAGAGGTTGCCATGTATTTTATCTTTTGTAGTCTTGTTTTGTGTTTCTGTGGCTCCTTGAAAAGCAGTCTGTCCTCAAGACAGTTGTCTTCAGTACTAATATCTGTATTCATAAGCAATTCCGCATGAAGGCATCCTAAAGACTCAAAAAGGAAGGGTTACAAAATAGTCTTAGATGCTTCTGAACACCTTAAAACACCTGACAGCTGCTTCTATCTTAGTTAAGTCCTATCCCTGTCACACCACAGTATAGCCTAGACACATGCTGTGTAGCTTTGGAATGTTATTCAGCCAGTTGTGAAAAATTATGAAGGAAGAAAACAAGAAGGAAATTTCCTTCAGAAGAGAGATGCCAGCCTCTGTAATGTAATTTAATTTACAATGTACTAGTGTGAAAAAAGATAGTGAAGGCACTAGGGATTTATAAGCAAATGTTCCTGACTACACCTACCTGCTCAGTCCTGTAGTCTGGGTTGCTGCCAACAGAGCCCTGATAGACTCATCCCAATCCCAGGCAGAAGCTAGGGCACACCCATGGTGATACCTCATTTGTTTTAGCAGAAACACCCACCCCTTTGGAATCACAGGACTTGCCCTACTCATTTGCCTCCCAAGCCATTTCCTGCAGCCAAACATGTTTATGGCAGAGACAGATCTGTATGCTCCTGCCTAGGGACACTGTGTATTCCCCTGGATTGTGTTTTCTTACTGGGAGAAGTCAGGCACACAGCCTTCTGGTACACACTCAGCAGGGAGCATGGCCCAGCTGCTTTGGTCTGGCCCATACTTCTGCATGTGCCCAGTTGAGAGGGTGTCCTGGCAGAGTTAAAAGTAGCCCCAGCCTCACAGGGCTCTGTAGCACACACTGCACTATGTGGCTCCCAAAGAGAAGCAATGTCCAAACAGCCTCATCTGTTCCCTAAGCAGGGAATCTGTTCCTATACACCTAACATTAAGCAAGCAAATCTCCTCTTTTACAGCATGCAGCAATCTTCCATTTCCTTGAAGTTAAACAAGTATAACTGAATATGAATGACCATAATAGCTCTTTGGATAACACATCAATAATATATAACCATATATAACACACCTTTGCTTTACATATAAAATGTTCAATCTACTCTTAGTATGCAACAAAAATTAGAGTTTCTTTTAAAAGCTGATTTGGGCAATGGTATGGGAGTATATTAGAAGAGGCTTGGGGATATGAGTATTTTCTCTCATTGACAACAAGGAATGTCTTCAATGACAATGATTCTTCTCCTGTACTCAGCACTGGTGAGACCATACCTTGAGTGCTCTGTCCAGTTCTGGACCCCTCAATTCAGGAAGGACATTGGGGGTCTGGAACGAGTCCAGAGAAGGGCAGCAGAGCTGGTGTAGGGTCTGGAGCACGAGTCCTATGAGGACCAGCTGAGGGAGCTGGGGTTGTTTAGCCTGGGAAAAGGAGGTGACCTTAGTGATATCCAGAACTGCCTGAAAGGAGGTTGTAGCAAGGTGGGGGGCAGGGTCTTCTCTCAAACAACTCATGACAGGGCAAGAGGATACAGCCTCAAGAGGCACCCAGGGGAGGTTTAGGTTGGACATTAGGAGGAATTTCTTCACAGAAAGGGTGATTAGACACTGGAGTGGGATGCCCAAGGAGGTGGTGGAGTCACCACCCCTGGGGGTGTTTAAGGCAAGACTGGATGTGGCACTCAGTGCCACGGTCTGGTTGACATGCTGGTGTTCCATCATAGGCCGGATGCCATGATCTCAGAGGGTTTTTCCAATCTAATTGATTCTTTGAACGTAAGCAGGGAAAGCTTTGGCTTAAAACCCTCTTCTGATACCGTAATCTCGTGTGACAAGTGAATAATCTTGCAAACTTTACCTACCAAGCCCCGGTTAGTGAAAGGAGCCCAGACGGGGCCTGAGGCGGCCCCGCGGTCCGGGTCGTTCCTCGCGGGCCGTCCCTCACGGGCCGCCCCCGCCCGCGGCCGCCAGGGGGAGCGCCCCTTCCCCGCCGGGAACAACCGCTAGAGAAAACGCTG